TTATCGGTCTATAAAAACTCTCTGGCCGGTAAGAAGGTGATGATATTCAAATATACTTGTCCCGTTTTAATGTCATCCGGACACGTGAGAAAGTGATTATCCCCAAGTCTGGTATAATGGAACCAAATTTTTCTACTAGTGGGGTTGTTAGCCAATCAACTAGCAAGTGGTTCCCATATCAACTTTCAGTGTCTGAATTGGGCTAACTTATATCAATTAGACGAAGAAATCCCCACAACCGGAGACAAGTGGTTCAGTTGCCTTTCGTGCTAAACGCTCGTAAAGAAGGAAAAAGCTTCAAGCTCATTTTTTCCCCAGTAAATGTGGCCTTTTTCTCCCCCCAGCTACCCAGTCCTCATGAAAGATGCAACTGGAAGGAGGAAATCACTTTATGGATTCCTGCGACGCAAACTTATTGGCCTACTTGTAACGCTTTATAAGGAGTGGAGTGAGCACACGTCTAAGCCTCTAGGGAAATGATTGAAGTGCGATGAAGACACCTAGAGTTGGCACTCAGTTTGAGAAAATTGGAATAACATTGATAGCTCCATGATGCTGCATGTACGTGGTACCGGTTAACAACCTCCCTAGAGGGAGATTTCCATCGGTAATTAGCACAAGATAGCACACTACAGCTGGGTGGGGTAAGGTCAATAACGTAGACAGAGAGAATGAATGTCATTTGGCCATTCCAATTACCATATCATCATGAAAGAGGTAACTGGAAGGCGAGAGTCGTTTTACGGATTTTTACGACGCAAACTTATTGGTCTTTCGTTTTTCTACTTATACCACTGTATAAGTAGCACTATAATAACAGACTTGGCCCCTAGGGAGCTGATAGTACACTGAAAACACCTAGAATTAGCAGTCATTTTAGGGAAAAAAGAGGCATCTATGATTGCTCCATAATTTCACGTGTGATAGAGTTTGACACTCAATGGAGAAACCGGTTAACACCCATAAGAGTAGATTTTCATCTGGTAGGGGTTAAAAATTTGCACAAGATGGCGAAATACCGCTAGCCGGTAGCGTAAAACGAGGAAAAAAGTGCCATTCAGTGGTGTGGTATGCGGGTGTTAGACAGACGGACATTTGTAGAGCAAGCGCAATCTTCACCCAAATACCGCACTTTTTGGCCCAAAGGTAAAGTAATGAATTACTCGGCTGTTCTGCGAATGGTGAAGTGTCATTTGGTCCACCTATATAAAAACTTGAACATTTGGTGCTCTGCTTGTTGGTTTCTCAGAGGAGAGGACACTAGACCATCTCCAACACTGGGGTCACAGAACTAGCCTATTTAACTATCATCGAATTATTTTAAATCCAGCCAATCTTGTGCAACGTGTGAACGTAAACTGATCAGGAGCAAGCGTCACGCATTTGTGACGTTATAGAATAATACCCCAGATGAAATGCTCAATCTTTTCTTCTGCAGTATAGCCATCAAAACAGTTCCACTTAAACGCCTTCAGGGCCTTTGAAGCAAAAAACCACCTAAATTAAAGGACAAATAAGTGCCCACTCACATGAAGCTGAAGTGATAAAAAGACTGTAAGGAGGTTGAAAGATCAAAGAAAAACTTAAGTGGATTCACAGATGGCATGTTAAGCATGATGAAACGATGCTTTTTTTTAGACAAATACTTTAGTAGGGAAGAATATTTACATCTGGTGAACCGTCTAAATAAGAGGGACAAGGAATCTTATGAAAGCTCCCTTTCCTGTGAGATTAGACTAGACCGAGAGTAGGGAGCCATGATTTCTTCCTTCGTCCCCTATAATACAAAAGCACCCGGCGTAATTTACTTCTCTAGCAAGGTGGAGCAGGAAGTGAGCAACAAACCACCCTGAAAAGTACAATGTTTCCGGGACTTGAAATACGACAAGTGGCATAATGTATTACCTTACTACTACAGACGGGATAAAAAAAGCATTCTTTCTTTTTTAGCCACTAAGCGTGTCCACTCCAAAGCAGAAGTGCAGAAAAGGTTATCAACGATTTGTGCTGGTCTACCAGCAGGGGTCGTGTCATCGCTCCTGGACATTCTGCATCCGGGCGCTGCCTCCTACGGTCTTAAATTAACCTGATGGACAGCCACGTGTGGAACAACGCTAAGAGGATTACATCAAGGATGTGCAGGAAAGTGTTGATGCTTCCCTCTCCCTCTGCTCCTATCAAGGAGGTGACAAAGTCCACTTGAAAGGTAATTCCAAAAAACCTGGTTGAAAGTAAAAAGAAATGGCACAAAAATGAGAGGATCTGTGTAAACACTGATATAGAAAGCATTTGTTTGTTGATAGACGTAAAATTTAAACTGACCCAACAATTCGAGGTGCTACCATTGCAACCGCCAATACAGGCATCATCACACTTTATCCGTTCGAAAGGGTTGTCCAAACGGCAGTACGTGGTGGATTCCTTGGTACATTTTGAACCTTTACATAAAGTAAAAACGAAAGACGGTAAGAGGACGACACTATTCTAATTATACATGTAATTAAGCGGGCTCTTTGAGTCCCTCCAGGGTCTTGTGACATTCTAGCCCCGTGTCTATATTCTCTCAGGCCGACTGCACATCAAGTGATCACCTGTCATTTCTAACTTAGAATAGTAAAACTTCAGGGGGGACTTAGGGTGTTGCACCACCACGGTGAAGAAGAAACAGGCGCAACTAGAAGTATAAGTAATGTAGCCATGGTTGCCAGCAACAGGCGAATAGCCAAACAAGTGGTAATCCACAACAAGTGCACACGGTCACACATATCCAGTGTAAGATTTTGATTGTTTGTTTAAATCAGCGTCCTGATCACGCTGGCAATTAGCGCTCGGCCATTGTACTTCCGCTCGCCGGGCTATGCCGACAGCCTCTTGGCTCCTCTGTACGCCAGTAATATATCCCCCACCATGCTCCTATGGCGTTCTCTGACTTTAGGAAAAGCCCGGTGCGCCACATCCACACAGTGCGGTGAATACATTTTGAGAGGAGAAAGAAAAACAATGAATTAATCACGTTTTGTCATCATTATCTGCCGCACCGAGTCCAACAAGCCAAATTACTAAGGCGGTAAAACAACAATGAACTCTTAAACGGGGAAAGTGTTTAATATAGGGTAGATGTAGTGGTAGCGAGGCGAAGGCTTGATGGTGGTACTACTCTCCTGTTACTTTGATCTCGCATGAGTTTGGTGGATGTGGCTAGAGCTTGTCTGCTGTACGAATCGAGGCCACCCCACCTCCAATAATAGAGGTAGAAGTCAGCTTCAAGCCCCATATTTGTGGTAGCAATACAACTTATCAGTCAACCTGGTGCGACGTCCCACTGTTTTTGATTAGACTGGAGATTACGCGTCAATCTGGACAAGTGACCTTGACATTAACGAGTCAAGAGTCTTCAGCAGTGCTTAAACCTATTTCAATCGAGAAAGGAATGCGGTAGTGGTGGCGGCGGCGTTAGCTATTCAGTAATTTGCACCCCATACATCATGCATTGACAAATGCCAAAAAAACTTCAAAGGCTAATCGATTTGTCTCACCCCTCAGGTTATAAAAACAGATTGATTACTTATTACCAGATAGAGCAATTTGTGTTGAGAAACGGTTTTTTGCAAACCACCAGATCACCGGTTATCCCCATACCATTTACTCCCTTCTCCACATCTTTAATACCATCTTCAGCATTACCAGGCCCTACGTGATTTGTGTGTGTGTGTGCGCAGATGCAACACCCATTCAATTGTTTACCATGCATTGTCCACTTGCTGGTATCCAAACAAATATGTCTGAGATCTCTCCACTCGATCTGACCGTGAAACGGAGTGGCACTGTCAAAGTACAATGTGATATGCTACAACTTGAATGAGGAAGACCAGGAAACCTGAGACCCCATTACCCCACTTTAAGCGATGGAGAAAGGGAAATACCCTTTCATTCTCCGATATGCCCAGGCCTTTTCCACTTAATTATCAACCTTTATGGAAAGTCACATAGTCATATTCCAGGCAGACGGTTTGCAGGGCAAAGACGTTTGCTTCTAAAGGCAAATTAGAATTCGCAGTTAATTGACGTCGCAACCGTGACGAGGTTGTTTCACCAAACCACAAAGCATTCTGCAGTCACGCCTCCCCTTCTAGCACTATCATTCCCCGTTTGACTTACGACGAACAAGGTCAATTTCCGTTTCTCCATTAGCAAGCCTAGAGACTGATCCCCCTAGTTCCCCCTTGCCTGCATTTTAAGACGGGAAGGGGGAAGTTAACTCGCACCCTCAAATGCTGGCACCAACTTTGAAGTCACGTGGTGTTTGAGAAGACAATACCAACAGTAGGGGAGAGATATGCAAAAAGTACGCGAAAAACTCACGAAGTTGACACTGATTCTTCTCCGGTCCCCAGCAGTGCCCCTTCTCGTCATTCTCGGAGCAGGCACTATGACAGGTCGTGTTGCCTGAAATGCATAATTATCCATGCATGAAGTGGACTCGAGGAGCGACAATAAGGATGAGGTAGAACACATACTCCTTCATCAAAATATCCATAAGACGTGTGGATGTGTCGATGGGTGGATGGGTGAGCGGGTAGATGGGTGTGTGTATGTACGTGTGAAATCAAGAATTCAGAAGGTGCAAGTGAAGGTAACTGATTAAAAGGCAATTAACTTTGTCATGATGCCTCCTCTTCTCGCCCTCTTTACGCATGCAGGCAAAGCATGAAACTGCAGAGAGAGAGGACTATGAGGAGTCAAGTGTCATCTCTTTGCTCAGTTTCATAGATTCCTGAGGAAAAGCAGCCCTCGTGATCATTAAGATGATATAGTGATTAATTGTCAGATTGGAAACATATGGAGCTCGCCTTTCGTAATGCCTTCTACGAGTCCTCCGGGTCTTCTCTACTAGGCTTATGCGGTCTTGATTACCACTGAACTCGGAATATCTCCCTCGAGCAGAGGAAGGAGAGGATTAATGACTAATTTCTTGAGGCGGAGGAGACTGGCTGTTTACTGGTAAATCCGAGGTCAAAAATGACCTGCATTTTAAAGAGAGTTGAAGAAACTGCTTGCATTTCTCCCAATCTGCGGGTTTGGTGGTGACTGAGGTGGAAAAATAAAGTGGTGAAACACGTTCTCGGATTCGAGTAAACGGAAAATATGCACTAAATCATGCATATACACACGCACATACACAAAAACCACAGTGATTTACAATTTTAAAGTTTTCTTAAGAGCGTGGGAAATGGCTAATTGTGGGGCTGGCATTGTGCCTGTTGTTGCTGCATTTCGCAAATGCAAGATTTGCAAGAGGAGCGAGGAGAAATTGGGGGAGGGGGCAGAAGAGTGTGCGTAGAAGAGAAAAAAAGGCACAAAAAGGTTGCCCTACTTGGGCCCCATCAATTAATTTATTCCTCCGCGAATGAACTGGGTGAAGATGGTTGTGAGATGTGACTACTCAATTGGGAGAGAGAAATAAAATGATGATGATGCAACAGGTCAAATTATCTAAGCCTGTCAAAAATCAACAAACCTTTAACTTTAGGGGGTTTTGAGAGGTCACAAGTGATCCACATGGAAGGACTAAGGAGCATGAAATAGTGAAGGAGGCAGCGGTGAAGTATAAACTGTGTAAGATATTTGAAAACATCCCTTCGTACGGCTTTCAGGGCTACTTACAAAAGCGAGACTTTTCGGAACCAATGACGTACAGGCGCTACTGAATTGGCAAGCACTAAATCTGTAGACAACCCCCACCCTGATTAAAAACGTAAAACTAACCACAGAGTCAAAGCCCCTTGGTGCCGGAGTCTCAAATAATTCAGTATTGGAGGGCTCTGGTCACTGTCCAGACCACTAAATCTCCAGCACTTCTGTACACTTATAACACAACTATTAGCAGACTTCTATCTCCTCCAATGCCTTCAAGAATAACTCAGGCGCTGCAGTAAAGACAGCTGACTACCTCGAAGGACTTGAACATCGAAGAGTCGACTAGGCACCAGTAGTGGATACTTGGAATCGCTCAGATTTGCGACAGAGACAAATTCTGCGCCATGATGATTAACAGGGATGAATTTTCGTTGAATTGGAATTAGCGAAAGATGGATGAGATGCAAGGACCCGACACTTTTCGATGCGACAATGTTGGAGAATAGCTTGGATGGATAGAGCAGTAAAAGGGACAATAAAGCAGGATGGGAATATAGCTGGAACGCAAATCTGGGCAAAATACTTTTAATTCGATATTGTGTTAAATGTATTGTCTTTCTTTACTTCTGGGCCGATAGTTCAACGAAAAGTCACTACGGTGATGACGTGAAAGTGAGTTCATGCCCTACCCATACGCCCCACAATGCTCCCAGGAGCAATGCTGGTCCTGTTTTCACTAAGGTTGAGTTGTCTGCCTCCAGTGTACTCTAGACTCCCGTCTAGACGGCATTTGACGTCAGAGGGCCTGGGCTCATCCCGAGGCCAGAGCCTGCACGTACGCATGCTCTTCCATACCACAGCCTACGGCTAGGCGTGTTGGGGCATGCAGGGGTCAGTTAACAGTGAAAGACGTCTGACGCACACTGCTCGCTCCTGACGCAGTTGAAGTAGGGGGGTGAGCAGCATCACGTGTTAAAAGAGCCTTTGTGCAGGCTTTTGAGCAAGCCTCCCCTCCTCCTAAGACCTAGAAAGCACCTGTACGGACACCTTTCGTTTTGTTTGGCCAAGTGCTAGCACGAATGAGCGCGGTGAATCACCCTAGAGAAAGCGGCCAGGTAGTTAAAACGCCTTTCACAAGAATCTCAAATCTAGGTGAGACTATTTATTCATATTTCTGCTACCCTGGAGTTCAAAGCATGGGTAGTTCCAATCCTCTAGTTCTTGAGATCAGGCATTATCATGGGCAAAGATGACGGACCTGTCCAACCGATTACAGCTGATGGACACTTGGGCCACCCTATAGAACCGTAGGAGAAGAGACTGACCAATAGAAATACAAGGTGAATCCGCAGGAGTTTTATTCTGCTATCTGCCTAGGTCATCCAGCCAATAGAACCTAGTCTTGGACACGAGATTCCTCCATTGCTGACGGGAGAAATGGAGGTTATTTCAGCATCCCATAACCAGCATCTGCGGTGGGTAAAAGGTATCCTATTTGCGCTCCGCAGCAAATTAAAGCATTTTATGGTGGCACGCGATAGACCCTTCAACAGCCAATTAGCTCCACCTCCATCAGAATGTCACACACGATGCACCCGTCAAATGATGGTTTTGAAAGTTGCTCAAAAAATCAAAGATAAGTGAAAGAAAAAAGGCCTGAACTCAATTAAAGACCCGTCAAACCAACCTGTCAGGAGTTCACAACGTACAGAGGAGAGAATTCATGCTGAATACAATGATTTTATCTATGTGAATGGAATCGTATCTAAAGTAGTAAGACATCTGCAAGCTGACAGAACATCGTGGCCGAACGGGCTTTTTCAATTCCCTAGGCGGTGGAGGGGGGGGGGGGGAAGAAGGCAAAATTCCGAGGCTCCAGAAACACCTTTGTTGTTAACAGCACCCTAACATTAAACATCCTCCTCCACCCAAAGACATGAGGCTGAAGGTGGGAAAGGGAACGACCATCCAGGCGAGAAGCGGTCAGGATAGACGAACCTCGAGACTGAGCGGACGACGGTGGCTCCTGAAGAGGAAGCGAACTCCGAACCCATGCAACCTCGATGCCCTGTATACTCCCAATCAATCTGCTCGTTCAAAGGCTGCGTTACAGTATTACATGCTTTGCGGCCGTAGACTGATTGTCCTTCTGGACAATTTGTGTGAACCTCGCGGTTTGTTTAAACTGACACATTTAGATGCGCTGCACTGATGTGTGCGAAAGTTGAAACCTAAGTGTTCACGGGTTTACCTTAAAATCTCACCTCCAGCGGCAGCAACCATCTAGGTGATACAGGAGACGCTTTTATTACCGACCAAGTGAGGTCACTCCTTTGTGTGGCATTTAACGGTAAACTGAGCGGCTGGGTGTCAAGGTCATGTGACAGGCATTTGTGATTAGCACGATGCCAAAAGTAATTAAGTGAAAAAACGTGAATAAACAATAATTAAGCAGTTTATTTTTTTTTTTCAATTGGATTCAGAAAAAACCACATGCTGGGTCTAATGTCCGACCGCTTATCAGGCGGCGGTAAATGCGGTAATGCATTTCACACGGATGTGGAGCTATGCCGCGAGTTTACCGGCACTATGGAAGCCTGAGGGATGGCCAAGTTAAGTGCCTGCACATGCATTAACACCTGTGTATCACGAAGCCCTCTTCATTAAGGAAGAGGGCTTTCCTAATTTGCATTCCAAAACAGGCCGGCCAGACCGTACAATGTATACATGGGGAGGCAAGGTATAGCCAATAGGCCATTTTAGTCCGCATCTGGTTAAAGTGCACACCGACTTACTATCCCCCACCGAAATG